GGACAGACCATGGATGATAGGACTTCAAGTACCTCCACTCTCTTCCCAAGACTGCTGCAACCCTCATCTAATTTCCGAACAAAACCAAACTTGGCACACAGAGCCCCCATGACCCACTCTACATCCTACTGCGGTTTGGAGTAGGTCATACCATGGATGATGGGACTTGAAGTACCTCTACTCGCTTTCCGAGACTGCTGCGACCCTCAACAATGACTGAACAACACCAAACTTGGCACATAGACCTCTCATGACCCACTTTACACCATGGTGTGGTTTGACTGTGGATCGAGCATGGATTATGGGACTTGCAGTCTCTTCGCTCAATTCCTGAGACTACTGCAACCATCATCCAATTTCTGATAAGGACCAAACTTGGCACACCGGGTCTCCATGATGCACTCTACATCCTGGTGTGGTTTGGAGGATGATGCAACATGGACGATGGGACTTGCAGTTCCTTCACTCACTTAGTGAAACTACTGAGACCCTCATCCAATGAGTGATGAAGACCAAACTTAGCACACAGAACCCCCATGGCCAACTCAACATTCTGGTGAGGTGTGGGGGAGAACAGACTATTGATGATGGGATTTCAAGTACCTCCACTCACTTCCCAAGACTGCTGCAATCCTCATCTAATGACCAATCAAGACCAAACTTGGCACACAGAGCCCCCATGAGAGACTCTACATCCTGGTGCCGTTTGGAGGAGAACGGACAATGGATGATGGGACTTGCAGTACCTTCACTCACTTCCTGAAACCACCGTGACATTCATCCAAATACCAATAAAGACCAAACTTGGCACAGAGAGCCCCCGTGGCCAATTGAACATTCTGGTGATGTAGAGGGAGACTATGGATGATGGGACTTGCAGTACCTTAACTCACTTTCTGAGACTGCTGTGACCCTCATCCAATGACTGATCAAGACCAAACTTAGCACACAGAGCCCCCATGACCTTCTCTCCATCCTGGTGCAGTTTGGAGGACGATGGACCACAGATGATGGGACTCACAGTACCTTCACTAACTTCCTGAGACCACTGCGAGCCATATAAATAACTGATAAAGACCAACCTTGATATACAATGCCTTTCTCAAATAACCCGGGCAGCGCCGGGTCCCCAAGCTAGTACATATAATAAAAGTCAAAGTTTGTATGCGGCGGACAAAAGTGTGGCAGTATGGCGGGAGGAGTATGTGCCAGCATTCTGACTGGCTGCCGCTGTGGTGTTATTTGCATATGGTCTCTGATTGACCAGCTTCAATAGGAGCCCCTGGTGGAGAAAAGAGTTCATGAAAGAAACGGGGACATGAGAAGGAAATTTGCATATGGTCTCTGATAGGCCAGCCTCATTTCCAAGATTCCAAGATGACAAAGAGAGGAAAGGAAAAGGCCAGGGGCTGGGTCAGAAAATTACCAATACAGACCAAACTTGGCACACAGAGCCCGCAAGACCCACTCAACATCCTGGTGCAGTTTGGAGGAGGATGTACCATGGACGATGGGACTTGCAGTACCATCACTCACATTCTGAGATTGCTGTTAACCGCCTCCAATGACTGATCAGGACCAAACTTGGCACATAGACCTCAAACGATGGGACTTGCAATACCTGCACTCCCTTCCTAAGACCATTACAACTGCCAACAATGATGGATCACGACCACAATTTACACAGAGAGCCCGCATGACCCACTCTACATCCTGGTGTGATTTGGAAGAATTTGGCAATGGATGATGGCACTTGCAGTCACTTCACTCGCTTCCTGAAACCACTGAGACCCTCACCAATGACTGATCAAGACCAAACTTGGCACACAGAGTCCCCATGACCCATTCTACATCCTGGTTCACTTTCGAGGAGGACAGACCATGGATGATGGGACTTCAAGTACTTCCACTCCCTTTCCAAGACTGCTGCAACCCTCATCTAATGTNGAGCAGAGTCATCATAAGTAGTTAACCTATGGAACTCACTCCTACAAGATGATTTCATCATCATCGAGCAGAGTCATTGTGAGTAGTTAACCTATGGAACTCACTGCTGCAAGATGATTTCATCCTCATCGAGCAGAGTCATTGTGAGTAGTTAACCTATGGAACTCACTCCTACAAGATGATTTCATCATCATCGAGCAGAGTCATTGTAAGTAGTTAACCTATGGAACTCACTGCTACAAGATGACTTGATCATCATCATCGAGCAGAGTTATTGTAAGTAGTTTAGATATGGAACTCACTGCTACAAGATGATTTCATCATCATCAAGCAGAGTTATTGTAAGTAGTTAACCTATGGAACCCACTGCTACAAGATGACTGCATCCTCATCAAGCAGAGTCATTGTGAGTACCGGTAGTTAACCTATGGAACCC